TTTTCAAATCTATCCAAAGTATGAAGAGCAACGAGTGAATGCTATTACGATTAAATTCGCTATGGCACGCGACATTGGCTCAGTTTATCGCCGCCCTGCTTTCAGGTATCTACCCTACCTAACGATTTATACTTACATGTCCTATCTACCTCATAATGAGATCTGTCTTGGCTATCTTGTCTAATCAAATAAAGGACAACGCACGAATGATGGCGGACAAATGCCACGTTGCCAGAAATAAGTTAATTGTTAATTCCTCGAAGGAGACTTACGATTCCATCATGGCGATCAGAATTCGAAGAATTCATTGAATAATTTTCTGTTTTCTCAAACGTAAAAAACGAAGTAATTTTCATTAATTTTTCCTTATTTTTATCCGTTCAAAAAAATTAGAATAGACTTTGTTAAATGTTCTTAGACTATGATGGCAATATGAAAATATTATTATAGCAAAACGAAAACTGGCAACGGAGCATTCTATTTATCTTCTCCTCTCCTCTTCCGGCCACGCAACGTTACATCTAACATAGTATATCTTTAATAATTAATATCGTCTCTAATTTTCAATGATTCTGATATTTCCTTTTTTTTTTGTCCTTTTTCTTTCGTTTCCACTTATACATTTATATAATATTTAGACTCGTCCTTCCTCTTGTTATCCCCACTCCTCGAGATTAATTTGTCGTAAATGCTTAACACGATTATTTATCGATAATACAATAATTAATACAATTCTATTTATTTATCAATTAATTGTATGCTAGTTTACGATACGATGCGCCGATCTCTTTGTCCCGTTCTCGTCTTGGAATTTTGAAAAACATTGCGAAGAGAACAAGAGAGAGAGAGAGAAAGAGAAAGAAAGAGAGAGAGAGAGAGAATGTGTAAATATATATATATATAAAACGATTTAAAGAGAGAAAAAATTCAACGTTGGTCTTAATTTTTGAAATTGATTTCACGTGGCAATAAAGATTTTAATTTATCGATATCAAAATAATCCGAGAAAATTTCCTTCTCTCTTCATCATCCATCATCATTCATCATCATCATCCTTTTTTTTTTTGTCACACATCAATAAATTCGTGTCATATATTGATCTTGTTTTTTGACTTGGTGTCATTAAATTGTTAATTCGTTCGTAATTAAATTTCCACGAAGGAAATAACCTTCTGATACTACAATTTGTTGATGTATGTATGTGTATGTACGCCTCGCTAATATGTTGTCTAATATTACACATCCTATATACAATCAGAGCAACGCAGCGTGTTCATCGATCAATTTGTAGATAATAGTAGATTAATTTATTACCCAATGCACGTTTTTTTTTTTTTCGATCATTTATCATATTTATGCGTGTGTATATGTGTATATCTTGTTCGTGTACACGTACGAAGTGCACAAGGCTCGTTGTTCAATTCTTTTTTAACTTGAGGAACTACCTGCGACCTTCTCTTATTCTTCATTTCTTTTCGATGGTCGCGATGGAAAATTATATATATTTTTGTATGTAAAAAAAATTGAAACGAATCGTCGTCATTTCGTACGAGTGCTCTGAACTTCGAAGTCGCATGACTGGCCGCCATCTTACGTCAATTCTTCGTTGTTTCACGTGACGAATTTTATAATACAAAATGGCTGTCCTCCGCGCCAATTTTTCCACGAGTCAGTTCAAATGATTGAATTGATAATAAGATTGATTTCCTCGAAATTTCGTTGAATATATATTAAAA